CTAATTTAGTTCAGGAGTCAGATACAGAATACCGCAGCGATTGAGGAGAATCCTAATGGTGTTCTGGAGTCAGATAGAGAATACCCCAGAGATTGAAGAGAATGCTAATGATGTTCAGGAGTGAGAGAACACCCCCGTAGGAGAATACTAATGCATTGTTACCTTTCTGTAGCACCAGGATTGATTAAAGGGGTGGGCCTTTCATGAATAATAAAATGTAATTTCACAGTAATATAAAAGGATTGTGATACAGTAACTGGGATACAATGATGTGTAATGAGACCAACGGTTGCAGTATGTGGTTATATTATGGAGGATCAGAATCTCTGAGAATCCCTGGTGAACGTCAGCATACTTCAATTCAAAACTCCAAAAATCTCTGAGCACTAATTTCTCCGTGATCTGTGGTCCTTTTGCCATTTCATGTCCTGAGGATTTGGCTCCAGTGTAATCTCACCTGCTCCACGCTGTTCACAGCTGTATGCTAACGCTGCGTAATTCCAGCTTAAGACGGGGTTATTAACTAGAGCAGCAAACGGCAGTTTGATAATCCTTATCGCAATATGCTGCATGTGTTCGTGTCTCTGTCTGTAACCTAATCCTATGCTAGAAAAACAGCTGATTAGGGATAACAGAAATTTGTTTAGGTTCTTATATTTGTTGTGTACATGCGAAAAGCTCTGCGTTGTCTTGTTTTTCCCAAAACAATCAGATAATTACTAAGAGGACATTTGTGTAACTGACCTACAGTAATAAATTACTGGTTGTTCCTGCGAGTCAATGTGTAACTACAAGGAGCAATAAGGTTATATGTACAGTGTGTATAAGCTGAAGGCCTGACAACAAGCACAGGGGTGTCATAATGACACTGCTGATCGCTACGCAGTGTGAAGATGGGTGTGGGGAATGTGCCGCCCAATAGCATTTGACCTGTGGCTTTTGTGGGCGGGCTCAAGCATGGCGCCAGTAGTGCCTCGATTTCCATAATGGGGCACAAATGTTCTTTAGAGGTTGGAGTGACCTTCCTATCTCAGGACTCAGAAACCCGATCTTGAAAAAGGGAAAAAAGGAAAGTGCTCATTGGGGTACAAAGATATGGCAGGATCATTGTCCGACTGGTGGGTCTTGCGCATTAAAAACTGCAACAGAATGCCTCTGTGCTTCACCCCATTGGTGTGAAACTGAAGTCTGCCCAGTGCTGATGGTCATCTTATCCCTGTAGATAGAGCAGCAGAGACCAAAGGACTTGTACTTATACAACCATACATACAGTATTCTCTGTGCAGCATTCCTGCTAGCTGGGGAATGTCTAAGGATGGCCGATTTTCATCCCCTATAAAGCTTAACCGTAACAAATGAGCGTATCGGTGGGTAGATGAAATTGCTATTCTGGATCTTGTGGAATGCTTGCGGCGCAGTGGTCACGATAGCTTTACCCAGCTTAAAACCTCCCCAAATCGCCGCACATTGCCGATAATATGCTACTTCTTTGATCGGAGCCGTCGCCTTCGTTTACCTTATGATAAAATGCGCGAATGGCCTGACAGTAATATCCCCTGAAAGGAGGAGGGGGTCCTGAGGACAGTTAAAGGACTCTGAGGAATAGGCCACAGGTCAGCAGACTGCAGGAGATATGCTGGATGTATCGCTAAAGCGACAGGGAAGGGCGGAGGCTGCGAGGTGTACGGTCTGTGTCTCGCTTCCCCCGAAAGGAACACAGCCCAGGAATGCGGACTAATTGCATTACACCGGATCAATTCCTGGAGTACAACAGCGATGCTTCACTGGGAAGTAAGCTGGGGACTGGGAATCCAGAAAGAGTAGCGAGTCCTACCCCGCAGCCTGGGAAAGCGGTCCGGCGCTGGAGAGGGGAATAGCTGAAAGGGGGAATAGCTAGCCAATAGTGAACTCAGTATCATTGCCATCAGTGTGTGATTGTTGGGGGGCTGGGAATCTAGTGCCAGCCTACACACTGCTGTTCACACACACACACACACACACACACACACAACGTATCTAGCAATCAATACACCACCATCCATGGCAGGGCAGGCATACAACACGGGGACAGAGACTGTGTGATGTGACCCTGCCAGTTACTGTGCTATAAACCACCAGCCGTGTCTCTCTGAGATTTACATGCTGCAGATGTGACGAGACGTCCGTCCCGTTAAAACATTCTGCATGTTACACATTCAACTCTCAGTACTTCGCCAAAAACACTTTGCAATTCACGTGGATTTAAAATGCATGATTTTAAAATATCTCCACATATCCTCAAATGAATTTTTCTCAAAGCTATGTGGCATGCATTAAAATGAGACCAACTGCATAGTGTTACGACCCGGTGGGCTGGGCTGGGCAGAATAGTGGGAGGGGTTAGCACAGAGACACAGAGAAACAGACACAGACATAGAGACACAGACAGAGACACAGACAAAGAGACACAGACATAGAGACACAGACAGAGACACAGACAAAGAGACAAAGAGACACAGAGACACAGACAGAGACACAGACAGAGACACAGACAAAGAGACACAGAGACAAAGACAAGGAAATGAGGTTTTTTGGCGTGATGTGATGAACAGACAACAACAAATGGACAAATAGCAGACTGACCACTTTCAAAGTGACCCAGGGCAAAATAACAAAGAACACCCAGACTGACCGTGACCGGTCCCTGCCTAACTTACATAACTAACTTAGCTACTAACTTACCTAACCGAGAACAAAAGTGTAACACTGCAGCTTGTAAGAATATTTATGCCATTTTTATTTATTTTACTTAAAGGAAGAATAAAATCTAATGTACATCAAATTTGACATATTTGCTGAATGCAACACTCATGTAAACCGAGAACCTTCTGAACTGTTGTAGGTAGTGTGAGAGCTTAATTAAGACATAATGACATTCCTGATTGCTTAATGGAATTTTACCCCCGATGCTCCAAAAGGAAGAAGGAGTAACAGAACCTGAAACTGTCACCACTGTCAGTGCTGAATTGTCACGAAACTGGTAGCATTCGTCTCTCACTGGATCCCGAAAATAGATAGTTGTACTGGAGCAATTTGAGTTGGGTATCTCCTTCGAGGGGACAATGCGAGGGTCCCTCCTGGTGTGTGAAACCTGAAACACCTTCATTTCATTGCATCACTTGGCCGCTTAGGAGAAGCTTTCATCCAAATTCACATAAGCTTAGAATGTCACCCATTTGTTACAGCTAGATGTTTTACTGGAGCGATTCAGGTTAAATATCTCCCTTAAAGGTACAGCAGTAGGGTCTCTCCCGGGATCTGAACAGGCAAAGTGTGTCTTACAGAACTGGTTTCCTCTGGGTCTGCTGCCCCATAAACCACTGGAGGAGGAGACCACTGGCTGAGGAGTACAGCTTGTATCCAGAGAGTTGGTAACACCATATCTTTAGAGGCAAAGAACAAAAACCAGCTTTTAAACCCATAAAATCAGTGATATCATCAGCAATTGGCACAGGGATGTCCAAAAGATATTATTTTTGTAAAACACCTATGGTGGCTTGGATGGTGAAAACGCAGCTCGAACCCGGGCCCAGCTCCCCGTACATGCAGCATACTCATGTTCTTTCAAACCTCCTCCCTCTCTTTGTAACTTTCCTCTCGGCCTAGCTGGGCAGGTGGCTATCGACAGCGGACGGCCGGGCGACTGCAAGCGGCCAAAGCTGAGAGGCTTAAAGATTGAGCGGCTTTGGCCTTTTGTGGAGACAGACACCCGGTCTGGTCTAGACCAACCTGAGTCAGTGTGGTTCTCTCACATGGTCTGTCTAACCTCACTCACATCTGAAATCATCTGCAAAGGCATGTAGAATTACAGACTGGAAACAAGGTTATTTTCTATATTTTTACCCAGTGACATAAGGCCTTAATAAGACTAAATGTTTGCTTTAATTAGACTCTGATGTCTGATCTCAAGCAAGCCTGTAATGAGCTGTTTGAGTATCCTTCCTGATAGAGATCACTCTAAAATCGTCAGCACACTGCAGGCTCAGCAGACAAACGCGATTCCTGGGCCGCTTAGTCCTGTCCACCTTGTCCTCCTCTCAAAGCGATCTGCAGGAATCCATGAGCCTCGACTTTTTGCACGTCCGCGTTTAATTTCAGCGAAGCTGAGCTCAGAAGGCTTCTCATTTCCCACGTGTCCTAAAGAGCATCTGAAAGACGGCTTCAGAGGAAGCTTCCTACTTGACTGTGTCAGACACTTATACCAGATGGAAATGACTTCATTGTTCTTGTGACTATACGGAGATGGGCTCCTCAAACATATTAGCAGAATATGTCCCACGTGAAAGGTATCAGAACATTGTAAATTAGTCACTAAATGAACATTGCTGCCATATTTACTCATTGTGATTGTCCATCGTCCAACCCACTTATCCTACTGGGTCGTGGGGGGTCCAGAGCCTATCCCAGGAGCAATGGGTACGAGGCAGGGAACAACCCTGGACGGGGGGCCTGCCCATCAAAGAGCACACTCACACACCAGCCACTCACAACTACAGGCAATTTAGTAACTCCAATCAGTCTCAGCATGTCTTTGGACTGTGGGGGGAAACCGGAGTACCCGGAGTGAACCCCACGATGACACGGGGAGAACATGCAAACTCCACACACATGTAACCCAGGCGGGGACTTGAACCCAGGTCCCAGAGGTGTGAGGCAACAGTGCTAACCACTGCACCACCATGTCGCCCGTCATTGTGATCGTGTCCGATGGAAAAGCGTAACTCATACTGCTTATGCCGTCTGTGAGCTGTTTGTAGAAGACTGGCTATGTGAAATAAAACCGCAGAGTAATTTGACAACCTTAAGTAGTGGAAGGGAGAGAAGCTCGACAGAAAGCTCAGAAAGGTCAGCTCTCCACTTTAAGACAAACAGGCCCGTCAGGAATCGACCCCAAAGCCGTTAAAGCATCAGAGCTGATGATGTAAAGCAGCCACGGCACGGCGGAGATGTTCTCCACTTACCTTCTAAGCAACACGTCCTCCACAGTCCCGAGTGGGTCATCACCTCCTCGTTCTTCTTGCTGGTCTCGTTCTCGCTGACCGATTTGGTCTTGCACACGCCCCGTGAGTACAACCAGTAGTCGGTGCCCACTGCTATAGTCATTAGGCTGAAGGCTGCAAAGGCACCGACCGTCGTCAGTAACATCTGCACTCCGCGGTCAAACAGGACCATGTTTCTGCATTCCATGAAAGGGGGCGCCCCTTTCCTCTTGATGTACAGGAAATAAATATTTGAAAATTGACGGGGCCAAACTGCGCTAAAAAAACGGGATCATTTTGATTGGATGAAAGGGGAAGCGGTCCGCTCTGCGATCCACCTTATGGTCGCTTCTGTGCGGAAATGCCAAGGAAATAGCTGGGGAATAGGGAGTCCTAGAACAGGGATGATGAGATGGGCGGCTGCTTTCAAAATATATGAGTTTCCGCCACTTCAGAAGAAGCTAGACGCTCCCTGTTGATGCTGTGTGTACAACTGAAGGAGCAACTAAAATTCGGAGAAACAATATGAAGCCCACCGCATGTGTATTTAGCGTGAGATTATGCAGAAGTTTCAGCAAAGGCTGATGCCCTACAGGTCGAGCAGAATGCACTTATCGGTTGATTAACGAGGTCTGGAATAAAACATCGTCTATGTTGTTCTAAAACTGAACAGTGTAACATACGTGCATCACATACGTGAATCGCTGAATTGCGATTCAATAGCCGACTTAGAGGGGGCGGCGGTCGCGTTAGACTAATGACAGGGTCGCATAGGCTACAATTCATCCAACACGTCAATATTTTCAAAGAATTAATTATATTACTCCTTTGCACGACTATGCTGTTAAATGCACTGATATTTCAACCTGACTGATCATCTAGTGATTTGGTCTGTATTTATTTGTGTCTGCCTATATTTCATGTCAAAGGAAAAAGCAGTTAGATAAACAAGGACGAGAAAATCTAGGATAGTGATAACCTTATTGAAAAAGACAAATGTACAGTTATCGAAATGGATTAGGTAAAAACAAATCGAAAGTCATCTTCGGGATTAATACCGCTCTAGTTAATTAAGTATGATGAGACACACTGATTTATCAAATTAAACCAACGACGGATGAAGAAATCAACGCACATAAATAAAAGAAAAAGGGATAAATTAAGTCGATTTCAAAAGAAAGAAAGAAAGAAAGAAAGAAACAACCTCTATATTTCCTTTTTTCTAAAATTTTGATCTCCAGTTTCCATATGTAGCCCCTAGCTTTTGAAAAATTTCCGCCGAAAATGGGAAGCTGGTATCGGATGAGCAGCCCTCGATGATCCGGGAAATACGCGGTGCATCCAGTGAAGCAAGCCGACCATTACTCGACATAGAGCCGGGGGAAGGACGAGGAAGAGACGGGGGCGCCGTCGGAAACGCTCCCTGCCTGTAGGACCACCGTTGCTGTTGCTTGAGTATCCAAATCCGCGGCGATTGTATCACACCCAGCAGCGACCCGTTTGCATAGCCCTTTCGCCATGTAAAATAAAGATTATAATAAATAGAACTGAAAATTTAAAAAGTCAAAATGCCATAATCCTTCTTTGAAATCCCCCTTTCTCTCCATGCGCGCTGAGATATAAGTGCAGAGATTTGGAGGGCGATAGATAGTGGGAGGTTGATGTAGAAAAAAATTATACAACCAGAATAAAGGATCCACGCCACGCCGAACCTATAAAGCAGCCCAGGAGCGCGAGAGGGGAAGACAGATAGGCGGCAAGTCAGCGCTGCGCCTCACGTTTAGGCTCATCGACACGTACGGATTCTCATTTCTGTCTTACTGTATTTTATTAGACGGACTGATCGCCGCTCATCGGATGTGGAGCTTCTCCCCACAGCGTGCTTGTTGCTGGAAGGATATGAAAGATTTTAATGCCATTTCTAGGGGGAGGAGGGCGCGGGTGAGGTAGGGGGCTGGTTCTGTGCATGTGTGTACGAGCAGAAGGGGGTTGGGGTGAGTGTGCGCGAGCTGAAAAAGAAGAGGCTCATTTTATTTGTAACTACATATTGTACACCAAGGTGAATGTGCTAAGCTGTGTATGTTCTAAAACATGAATAACCTATGCTCATCTGAATTTGAAATCAATTTAATAAGCTCCAAATGTGATGGACTATTCCCTGTTTTGCATATCTTTTTTATACATTTTTTTCCTAATTTCAAATTGCTGTGTAGTTCTTACAAGCTGATTTTCATTACAGAAACCATTAGTCTCTAATTACCTGAAATTTCTCAATACTTTTCCATCCCGCATTGTTCATTTACTTTAGTGATATCTGTAGTAAAATTCCCTCCTTATATTAATGGTCGCCTCTCAGAATGCTTCATGAAATATTTCGGTCAAATACTTGAGAAACATCTTGCATTCCCAACGAGGTGCCAGATGAATGTCAAACGAATGCACATTAGCCTTATTTTCACATTGCACATAAATGAGCCATATCTCTATGCATTGCTTATATGCCGTTATTTCTGCCCTTTGAGCTCAGCACAGCACGCAGAAATGGTGCCAGCCAAGTCCGCGAGCGCTGTGTCCTTCTGCGGTGCTGAAACGGACAGCTCCCCAGTGCTACCATCAAAGACAGTCCCGTGTCTCCCCCTGCTGTTCATATCAAGTATTTTCGGTTCAAACAGCCAGTTTAAGACTAAAGACGACCTAGGGCTTATTTAAAATACTTATCCTTTTTGGTTCAGCCAAAAATAATAAACTACCAAATTGTACTCCTAGATGTATCCTTGAAGTAATTTAGGGTCTACAGGCCGACACCTTTCTGTGCTGTTGTTCTACTCCTAGATGTATCCTTGTAGTAATTTAGGGTCTACAGGCCGACACCTTTCTGTCCTGTTGTTGTACTACTAGATGTATCCTTGTAGTTATTTAGGTCATACAGGCCACCACCTTTCTGTGTTGTTGTTGTACTCCTAGATGTATCCTTGTAGTTATTTAGGTCATACAGGCCACCACCTTTCTGT